GATTGATATATTCTATGCTACACGGTTCTCTATTTGCAGATAATGCTAGGCATCTTTCTTTCTATATATGGAATATCAAAGCCTAATCATTTTCCCCCCATACAATTACAACTTACAAGAGATGATATCATGATACGCCAGAATGCTTCATGCCACGAGTAGGAGATGAGTCAAACGAACATGTGGATATATAGTACTTGAAAATGGTGTCCTAGGGTATGGTCACGGAACGGAGGATGATGCTAGGCTTTAGAAATTGTATCCTCATATCCCCACCTCTCGTCTTTTCTTTTTCAAACATATTAAAATAATTTTTTTTTTAATTTATTTTAATATCAAAATGATTCAAAAAATCCTAATAAAAAATTATAAATTCTCTAAAAAAATATAGTGATACGGCAAAAACAGACGCTTACTTGCAGAAAGGCTAGCAATCATAAGATTTCATCCCGTGTATACATGTCAAAGTCAGTGCCATACTGCTTCATGATTTTTTTTTATCTTCATGGTTTTTGCACATGCTAGGCTCACTCATTAGATTGTGGGAGCTGGGTCATTGTGTGAACAAGACAGAGGCCAAACAATGCACATGGGACATGGATGTAATGCCAAGGTAAGAGCCGAGCTAGGATGTATCAGCTTGGGCTGTAGTTTGTAATTGCCTCCTAAACGGTTTATCGAGATTTTGATTTGGATAGTTTGATGTTATGATATTAAAAATAATTTTAAAAATAAAATAAAATATTATTTTTATGGCGGGTCACTTTTACCTATTTTGGAAATGTTAATTAATAATTGCAAATGCTGAAATTTTCCCGCGAGCACCCAAAATCAAAACTTGGTTGAGCTATTGATGTACAGCTCATGTGAGATGAGACTAATGCACAGCTCATGTTCTTCAACAAGCAGAAATTATTGTCGTAGATTGCTTTTCAGTACAGTTTTTACGCGGGATTAATTTGTTTTTTTATACATGAGCAATGTTTTCTATATTGTAATTCTAGTTACAGAAACAGCATGTGATGCTGGCAAGTGATCTCCCCCTACCAGTCTACCTTGAATTAGCGACTGCTAACTGGGTCCAAGAACCTGCAAGATTCTTAATTGCCAGGCACGGAATGGTGATTTTATGGGGACCAAGAGGTCCATGACAGCCATAAGCAGCTCAACAGATATTGACTAGAATGGGGATTTACGAATATCGTGTGGCTCATCCCAACACTAGCACATATATCAAACTGTATTAGCTGTAGCCTGTATGGTCATATGAAAATGGTCTGTCCCCTGGCTCGAACGTGTTCCGGGTCCTCCCTGTGGATTAGCTCTTGCCACAGATAGTCCTGTGCGTGTCAGGTCAGAAGTAGCTTGCCTGTTCCAAAAGGATCATAAAATACTAACTGGTTGCTGGTCTTTAGCGAAGGGGAAAGGAGAAAATCAAAGAAATTACTCCGTCATGTTGCCGGGAATAAAAAATGTCATTCACCAGACTATGTTGAAGAAATGACCGTGAGGCCCAAGGAGCCTCCCGATCCATAGATATAAGTTTTCAGTTACAAGACGCCATGGGCTCGCAAGATCAAAAGATGGGCTCTGAAGACCTATAAAATCGATTCAAATCCTAGCTGCTTGCCCCCGAAGGTTGTTTAGGATTAGAATGAACTATACTTGCGGCCTGCGGAGGTTATTTTTCGACGTAAAAAAAATGTTTTTTTTTTATATATAAAATATGAAATTCGGGTAATATATATATATATATATATATGATAAATAAAATGAAAAAATTAATAACAAAAAAAAACTTGATTTGAGCCCATGTGGAGTAAATAAGGGCAAAACTGCAATTAAAAAAAATTCAAAAAAATAACAAAAAAATTCTAGCTAAACTAGGTTAACTTACAAGTTTCATGACTATGGATATAAGATTCATATAATCTTATAAAAATATTACTTGAAAGGAAAGGAAAAAAAAAGGCATAAAGACTAATTTCTAATATATCAAATGTTGAATGATCATATTAAAATAAATAAACTTAGAAAATAATAATAAAAAGTTAATTACCGTTATCATTGAAACAATGACTCTAGTCATAAATTTGAGACTAATCTCATAAAAGATAAATAGTAAAAAATAATTAAGCAAAAATCTTAAAAAAGGGTGAGAAATAATAAAAAAAACATCATCTAAAAAAAAAATAAACTCAAGCAAACATTCTAAACTTGGTCTAATTTATGAAACTCGCAATTCTTGAAATCCTGAATCCTAGTTTAATTAAGAAGCTTAATTTCTAACCAATTTAATTTTAAATGAAAAAATTATGAAAAAATATCAATTTTAAAAACTTGCAAAAGAAAAAAAATAGCAATAAAAAGAATGAGGACTAAATTTCATATAAAAACACACATAAAGGATGAAATTAAAAAAAATCTAAAAGAATGACTCCAAACAAAATAAATAGCAATAAAAAGAATGAAGATCATATTTAAAAGATTAAAAGTTGTAAAGGATGAAATTGAAAAACAATTATAATTTCATGATGTAAGGATGTTTTAGATTTTGTTTTTTAAAATGTTACTCAGGATATAGACCCGACTGAGAAAAAAAAGCTAATATATTGATAAACCAAAAAAAAAAAGACTACCAGAAATGATAAAAAAATATTAATTTAAAGAATTAACAAAAAACCTAATAAAAATGATATAAAAGATATAGGAAACAAAGTCATTTTCATGACCAACAAGAAATTCTAAAGAAAGCAAGCTAAAAAGAAATGGAACATAGTCTCCAATTGAATAAATATTAAATGATGAAACAAGACAAAAAAAACTATCTTAGATGAAGGGAAAAAAATCAAGCAAATCAGAGCAAACATCCTAACTTCGCTCAAATCTTCAAAACTCTCAATCGATGAAATTCTAGATGCTGGTCTAATTTAGAAGTTTTTTATAAATCACTTTAAAAATATCACTTTAAAAAACTTGATAAAGCAAAAAAATTAACAATAAAAAAAATAAAGATTAAATTTGATAGGCAAAAAAAATTCAAAAGAGAGTTTGTATAACAAAATATATTTAAAAAATAATTTAAAACAAAATAAATAATAATAAAAAAAATAAAATTAAATTTTAAAGATTAAAAAAAATAAAGGTTGATAAAATTAAAAGAGTGCGCTAATTTTATAAATTATTCAAGATAAAAAAAATTATAAAAATTAACCAAATCTAAAGAACAAAAAAGAAGAAGGTTATTTTGGAGATTTTAAGGATATGGAGCGAAAATCTAAATGGGAAGAGAAATACAGTTTTTTAGCTATCCAATAAAGTTTTTTTAAAAAAATATAATGAAGGGTTGTTAAATTTTTTTTTATTAATATAATAAAAAAGGCTATGATTATATATATAAACATGCTAAACATGTGCAAACTTTCTTTTACACATATATAAAAAGTTGATTTATTTTTTTAAAAAAAATATATAAATGACACACCGTATATTATTATAGATTTAAATGAGTAAAAATTTATTAAAAAATCATAACAAGGATTTTTTTATTTAAAAAAATATTTTTTTTACTTGTTTTGATTGAAAAATATTGAAAAGCATAATAGATAACAAGATAAATCCATTTGTAGTCTTTAACAATCCAAATTAATGAAAAAACCCAAATCCAACTTGAATTTCAAAAACTTCCCTAACAAATTCATTCTCTCAAGTAAAAGGTTAAACCCGAAAAGCATAATAGATAACAAGATAAATCCATTTGTAGTCTTTAACAATCCAAATTAATGAAAAAACTCAAATCCAACTTGAATTTCAAAAACTTCCCTAACAAATTCATTCTCTCAAGTAAAAGGTTAAGCCCGAAACACATCCAAGTAGAATTTGTTTAATCAAATGAAATTTATTTATGCTAAGATTAATTATTTTTAACTTTGGAATTGACATCAATAATAATTTTTTTTTTTAAATTAGAATCTAACAGCTCTCTCTTCTCTTTCAAATAAAAGGAAAAATATAAAGAAAATAAAGTTTTGAATCAAAAATAAATTTTTAGAAATCAAAGGGGTTGTAAATGTATCAATTAGAATGTACAAGGACTAAAGTTTACTTTTCACATCAAATTTGAAATTGCCACCTAGTTTCTCTATCCTTTTCACTTTGATTCTCCATCTTTCAATATTATCCATCCTTAATAAATTAGACCTAATTACCCATTGATTTGGCCACTAAAGGCTCAAATAGGAAAGAAAAAAAGTTTGATAACCAAAATAAAAAAATAAAATTACCAACGAAATCCACAATAATTTGTTAGCATATGCACATTGATTTTTGCATGGAGAAACTGCTATCTCTTTTAGTTTTTTTTTTTTAGTTTTTTCTATAATTACATGTTTCTTAATTTGGTTGATTTAACAACAGACAACCTTGCCAACAAAAAACCACAAACAAGCTTATAAAAGAAATGATAACAACAAACCAGGCATGGATGTGTTTTTCTTTGAGTTTTTTATATTTTTGCTAGATAATTTTTATGGGACAATGGGGTCATAATCCTTGAAAAAAAGGGTGAACTTTGATTGTCTCGTAATAACATCACATTATTTGTACAAGACATTACATGGTTCAATTTTCTAGATTAAATTTTAATAAAAACTAAACTAAACTGGATTAAGATATAATTAGATAACAATTATAGCATGATAAACCTAGTTAACTTGATTGGATGACCTCATTTTAGGTTTTTATAAATAAAAATTTAGATTAGTCTAAATTAACTTGATTTATCCACCATTCAAATCATAAAATAAATTTTAATATGGGGTTGGGTTTCAAATCTTATACTCAAATCAAGAATAATAATTTGCATAATTGTGAATATGGAGTTTATAATAAGTTTCGACATCTGAATTAGAGAAAAGATAGCAGTTAGAGTGCTGTAAGAAGTTGAAGAAAGAAAGTTTATAATCTCTTTTACTATTTTCAATAATAAAGAGGCAGAAAAGAAAGGAAAAGAAAGACATGTTATGTTTCACAACTTAAATTCTTCATTTCTTTCTGAAAATCCCATTATAATTGTCCTTTAATATGGACTATCATCAACGAATAACAAGAATTTATCAAAAAATTAATTTATACTCTGAGAGACGAGTTCTTTTTATCCCGACTCCGTGACTTTGGTGGAGAAGATTATGCTACTGCTGCTTGATTACTTGAGACATTTCAATAGCCGGACGTCATGCCACGAGAGATTTTAAGACTTGATCACACCTAGAATTGAGGCTTGAAGTGACACCGAGTGCTTCACGTCACCAATATGGAGACTATGGGCTCCCATTGGAATTCTTCGAATTCCAGATCTGTCCACAACACTCAAGAATTTGCAAACATGAACGTTAATTCCCACTCTTCGCTGAGTCCCTGCTGTAACATGAACTTTTTCGAAGGCCACTAATTGTTTGAGAGGAGCCCAATGCCCTGCTGGTGGTTTAGAGTAGACGAGCAATGTGTGAGTTCCATCCATGGAGCCAGTGTTTTTCACATCTACTTGCACTCCAAACGACAGCCTATTACATCTAGCATGTGTAACTCTGATTGCCTTTCCTGAAATGGTTGCATTTCTGGAGGCCTGGCGGTGTCCATCAAGGGGTACAGAAACCATTGTTGGTGCACTTGCTATGGTATGAACAAAATTTGTGTAGCTTATTCCGTGACCAAATGGGTACACCACTTTACCTTTATAGAATCTATAGGTTCTTCCAGGATAGCCATTTGATGTGCTTGGTCGCATGGCCATGTTTGTCATAGGCAAATTTGTGACATAATCTTGTGGGTACCATGTCATGGGTAGCTTGCCTCCTGCAAGACAAAAATAAAGAGTCGTTATTCTCTTTTACATTCCTGATGAAGTGAGCCTAATAAGACACTCGGACAAGCACTACTAAAACCAAACCTGGGTTAGTAGTTCCAAACAAGACATCAGAAATGGCTGCTCCTCCAGCTTGGCCAGGATAACCAGCCCATACGATGCCTCCAATTTTTGGATCATTCTCAGCGAAAGACACATCAATAGGTCCCCCAGACATCAAGACCAATATGGTTGGGCCCTTCGATGCTGCGGCAACCTTGGATATAAGCTCTTGTTGGCGTCCAGGTAGAAGAAGATCAGTCCTATCTCTGGATTCTGCCTCAATAGACTGGTCAAGCCCCATTACTAGAACCGTTGCATCCGCTTGACGTGCTGCGTCCATTGCTGCGCCAAATTGCTGGTCACTAACACAAGCAACATCTGCACAACCTTGCTGGTATATTGTCTTGGCGTATCTCGCTATCCCTTGTAGGGGTGTTGTGTATCCACAGGCCACACCTAGTAATCGACCATGAGTAAAATTGTTAATGATCAATATCTATAGATAGTTCAAGTAGCCAAGCTCTATAACACTCACCGGCATAATTGCCGATCATCGTAACAGTGACATTTGAATTTGGCCCAATGATGGCAACGGATTGATGATGGCGGGTAGATAAAGGCAATGGAGGACCTTGATTCTTGAGAAGTACAATGCCTTGTCTTGCCGCTTCAAGGGCAAGCTCTTGGTGAGCAGGCGTGCACACATCTTTTGGGCCTAGATTCCCATATGGCTTTGATGATGGCTCACCATCAAACATCCCTAGCCTCATCTGGACTGTCAGTGTGTTAAGTAATGCATTATTTATTTCTGCCTCATTTAGCAAGCCCTTTTTCACAGCATCCTCGGTGTGTTGAACTAGGAATGGTCCGCAGTCCAAATCTAAACCTGCAACATATTTAAATTAATTTGTTAGCGTAATCTTTATCAGAACGTCGGTAGTTTTGCCATCTAATATTTTCATCCAACCCCATTTAACAGAGGTTAATTAGTAGCTCCAGCACATATATTTTCTTCGACAAAAGGTGATGTAGGAATAAAGGCTACTGGCCTGCTTTAATAGCATCAGCAGCTGCTTCTTCTGGGGTTGTAGTATAGTGTTGCTGACTATAATAAACCCCAACTGAGTCGCAGTCTGAAACAATGTACCTGTGGTGATAATCCCAGACAGCATCGAAAGGGTTAATTATATATTACATGATCATGTTATATATATACAATCATCAACATATATATAAAACCTGGATGGCGTTAATTTGGATTTGATCATACCCATCAAGTTTCCACCGACCACGTACAGTTTTCTTCAGCAGCTTTGGGTCAGCACAAGTGGGGATCCCATTCACTTGATTGTAAGAGCACATAACACTTGCCACCTTGCCTTCTTTCACACACATCCTGAATGGTACATCAAATGTATCCTCCATGTCCTGCTTGCTTACCTGTTAATTAACCCCCACACGTGAGATGAAGGCAGGCAGCACATAGCACTTGAGCAGCCATGAGGATTACTAGTAATTTGGTGGATTTTCATCCATGTTATGTCTGGCTTAGGTAGGAGAAAGTTGTGCACAGACCAAAGCAATGATCAGGATGACACCATGATGATACGTATGGGCATAAGCAAAGACAGACTGAAAAGTGGGATTAACTTCTCTTGCAGCTGCCTTGATCGACTTCTTCGATTTTGTCATAAGCGATAATATTTAATTATTCTTTTGTGAAAAGTAAAAATAAAAAGTTAAACTCCATTTTCCGCTCTTCAAGGTATATATTATTCAACCTCGAGATTATATTATCTACATCATGTTATATATAATTAAGCGTTAAGCTACATATTGAGAGCTTAATATAGAATCTCAAACTGAATAAATTATATATGGACCACCCTCATATTCCATAATGTCCAAAAGTAGACCACCACACAAGGGGGAGCCTCACCTCTATGTTATTGCTAGAGTTACCAAAAACACAATACCTAAAGTCAACAAAATGGACGGTCAATCGTATAGTTCCCATGATGCAGAGCAGCAGCACATATATAGATTAAACATTTGTTAAATTAAAATGTACCTGGGCGTTGAAGTGGAACCGATCAACCCCATTCCAGTTATCGAGGTCATAGGCGGTGAAGTGCTTGCAACAAGCAGCCACCTTCAGCCGGTCGCCGTCATTCCCCTGTAAACCTCTAACATAACTTGCAGCATATTTACCAACTACTACTGGGTCCTCACCGGGAGTCTCCTGTCCACGACCCCATCTTGGGTCTCTAAATATGTTCACGTTCGGGCTCCAAAACGTGAGCCCGGCCACCCCTCCATTGAACATTGCTCTTGCTTCATCTGACACAACCTGCACAGTACACAGGATTGGTTTTATTTTAGATAATTTTATTTTATTTAGTTTTAATTCTAGCACCACTACCGTCTGTGTTGAGAGAGAGAAAAAAATAGAAATAGAAATAAAAAAAAATAAAAAAGAAGCAACTTGCCCGACATTATATTAAGGTAAAATTAAATTCTTATCCCTTTTCCTATACCGTTTTGATTAGCCCTGCAATTAAAGTAAAATTAAGGTCCCATTTGGCGTAAAAAAGACATGGATATATTCGCTTTCTAGCAGCCCCATCCACACTTGGCAAAGAAATGACTCTACAAATTATGATAATTTAGATTAATATTTTCTAATTAATTAAAGTAAGAGCATTTCCGTTACCACTTTCTTTTGTAAAGACAGTAATATTTGGTATCTTTGTTTTATCTCTTTAATGTGTCGTAGCAAGCAAGCATGTCATAAAAAGAGAGGTCGTCACATCATCGAATTTATATGTATCTCTTTAATTTTATTTTTTAAGATCTCTTAACTTGAAATGCTGTGCACTGGATGTTGTAACTAGCAGTAATTTTAAACTATTGCATTCATATAATCACTGACTTTAATTTATATTAATTGAAATGCATAAAAAATTTATTAATGTCTGAATTTTAAATAATTAGTACATACTAGCAACAGCTGCAACCACTATGTCTTCATTGTGAACACAGTCATGATATGACAGTCATGATATGAAGGGGAGGTTTAAGATTGAGTTTTAAATGATATTTTTAAAAATTTTGTATTTTTTTAATATATAACAAAATATTATTTTAATATATTTTTAAATAAAAAATACTTTAAAAATACCTCGGGATTGTGATAACATAACTCACACTTGAGATTTAATTTCCTCTCCTGAGTGTTACTGTATCAATAGTTACTTTTTTTCTTTCTTGGTATCAATTATCACATATTAATGTTATGGTTATTGACAATGACACTCATTCATAGAGTAATTATAAGCTTTGTAGAGTGACATTGGCTCATGTAGGAGGCGTCCCTACATTTTTTGTATGAGCCACCATGCAAATTGGGTTCGAACTGCCACTTTTCATGCATGGTCACAGAGCCGGGTGAGGTTTGCATGCTAAAGGGCTGCCCTCCATACTGACTGTTCTATCCAGCTCACATGTACAAACTTAAGGACGCCATTACAGAAAGAAAACAAAAGGTTCTCCAACTGATACAATTCTTGTTAATTGTTATGACTTGAATTAATCCATTAACTTTTACAGAGTAGTCTAATTATTATTTAATAAAAATCAAGGTTATGAAATCTCACCTGACCAATGGCCTCCCACAAAGTTGCATTGAAAGAAGCAGATGTGGTGATCACTTGAGGGAAGCTAGTGGCCCCAGGAAAGACCCCACCAAACTGGGTCCCTGGACCCACATTGGAAACTCCATGAAGAGCCTCGGACCACCACTCATACCCTTTAATCCCAAGCCGTGGAACTGCCGCAGCATCGTTCACTAGCAACCCAACCTTCTCTTGCAATGTCATCCTTCCAATAAGGTCACCGACTCTGCTTTGTATTGGCAACTTCACTTGGCAAAATGGAAAGTTCCTGCTCGTCCCATCTTCTGGGTCACAAGCAAAGGCGTCTAGAGCTTCGCTGGTTTGCAGAGAAACACCCAAGAAAAGAACCAAGAGGGTAACAACGAGGGATACGGGCATGGTGGTGTAGTCCAGTATAATAAGAAATGGAAATGCTTTTCAATGGGGATGGAGACCAAGGGAGCCGAGTGTGTAGAGTACATATAGGCGAGGTGAATTACAAGTTCGTGAGAGAAATGGGAGTGATGACGTGGGAGAACAACTTTGATGATTAGAGGACCATATTGCTCCTTTAACTTATGCCCTTTCCTTTTCTTGTGGTGGGATTACTATAAGGTGGTTGCTAATACATATTTACCTGCCATTTTGAAGATAAGAGTGGAGTTCTCCGTGTAAGATTTCACGTGGAATGTTTGTATTGGTGGTTTGGAATCCAAGAAATGGTAGGTCCAAGACACGAGGCATTATAAGGATGATCAGGTGGGGTTAGATCATCCAATTGACCCTTAAGCCAGTGATAATATTTCTACAGATTTGCGTATCTGAAAACTTCTGTTATCTTGGTTGGCAAGCAAACCTACGGAGAGAAAATTATGGGCGTGTTTGGTATAATGGGTTTCGAGTGTTCCCACAGGGATTCTCGAAGCGTTCACGAGTTGGAAATGGAAGAAATCGATGTGTTTTTTTTGTAACGATTCTGATTTTAATTGTTAGAACTATATAAACAAAAACATTAAAACGAATCAATCTGATATTTTCAACGAAGAGTCTAGCAAATACACTGCAAAAGGACACTAGTAGAAATCAGTGGTCTTGACATCTAGAGCAAGGCAATTAATGGTCAGAGGGCTGCCATGGTGGTCGAGCGAAGAAATGTTGTCAGCCAGTTGCAACCTGCTAGTTGCTCTAGCTTCGCTTGAAAGAGAGGTCAGATTGGCTCAGGATCAGATCAGATTAACCCATGCTGGACGGTGATATTCACATTATTGCATTACACGATGGAATAAAAAAGCACTACACTCTCTCTCTCTCTCTCTCTCTTGGATAAGAAATAAATTTAAAGTATTCCCTTTTAAACCAACTAATTAGCTAAGAACAAAAGCAAAGTCTTGATCCAACAAGCCAAAAACTAATTAACTATGAAACTTAATTGACATTCTGCTCGGCTCACTAAGGAAAGGAAAATCTCTTTCCCACAAAATGTCGTTGGAATATCCAATCGTTATACTGATATAAGAGCTTGGAAATCACAGAAGATCTAAGCACAGATTTCTATAGTCGATATTTTGAAACCATCGACCAAACGATTGAGCAATACCTTGACACTGCGTGCTGCTTTGTATTTATTTAATCCTAATTACCAATCTGATTTCTGATAAGTTTTGTCCCTCGATTGTAAACGATAAGGTATCTGGAAAAGGACATGGAAAGATCTTATCTTTAATATCGAATCATGGTTATTTGGAGTTCGCATGAATATTGAGGATATTGTCTTTATACATGAGTGGTTTTATGAATGAGTCAGTACCCACTTGTTCGAGGTTTGTTTCTGTCATACATTAAAATGCTTGTTTTCATTCTCTGGAAGGTTGAATTCCACCATTGGTGTAAGCTGCATAGCAGAACTTTGTCTCCTTCCATCTACTTTTCCCCCTTTTGTCTTCGTTAATTAGTTTTTGGTAGAGCAAATTATTATTTTGTTAAAATGCTTGTATTTTCCCTAGCTGGATCTATCTGTACTTGCTAAAGTATCACCTTTGATCATATATATATATATATATATATATATATGCTGTGGAAATTTAGAGGAGCATTAAAGTTTTGTGGCAGCCATCTTTTGTTTGTGATCTAGCTTTTAAGAGAATTGGTGTGGAATTTTGAAAGAGTTTTGTTGAATGTAATTGGATTTTGGACAGTGAAGTATTTGTGTATGTGAGCTTAATTAGTGGTTGTAATTTCTAATATTTGATAATGAAGTTCTGTAAAATAAATCTCGCCGACCAAATCAAATTTTCATGTTTATTATTAATTTTCATGACAGTTTAATTTTTTTCCCTCTAAAATATCCTTCATTTCTTGTCGAGTTTTTAAATCTCATCTACTATAAATGAAATTATTCCTTAATATTTATGAATTTATTTTCTGAAAATACAAGTCAATTTAGTTGTTTCTACAAACTTAACATTGACTTGGTAGATATTGGAAATTTTAAGATAAAGTTATCCAATGAATCATGAGCATAAATCTTTTGAGTATTTAATAATAATAATAATAATAGTATTGATATTGATAATAATAGTAATGCTAATAATAATAATAATAATAATAATAATAATAATAATAATAGCAATAAATAATAATATTAGTAATTATAATAATAAAATATTAAAACTAGAAATGAAAATTCAATCAAAAAGAGAAAAAAAAAACATTGGATTAACCATAATTAACAAGTCAAACTAGCAATTTAGATAATATATATAAAAAATTATTTTTAATCCTCACACATGTCAATCGGATACATAAGTTTTTTTTAATACCAAACAACAATTTGCTTCTTTGGAAATAAAAAAAAAAGGTGGTGTGCAACCCTTAAACAAGAATTTTAAAGGTTTTTTTGTCTAAAATAAAAAAAAAACTTTTGAAAAAAAAAGAGATAGTTAATTAATTCTTGAAGTTCAGGGGGTTAAAAATACCTCAAATTAAAAAAGTTAAAAAAAAGGTCACACATAAAATAAAATAATATTATATTTAGTTCTTAAGATTAAAAAAAAAATCAATAAATCCAAAACATAAGATTCAAGCAAATTATCTGGTCAATTTGAGTCGGAATAGAAAATTTATGATTTAGATTATAAGGTTGTGCTATTATCATAGAAAATAAATTAAAAAATAAAAATATTATTTTTTTAATAATATTAAAAATTAAAATTAAAATAATATATATTTGACAAGAAATAAAAAATATAATTTGAGTTAACATTTTATACATGTGACCCGGGGCATAAGCTAAGATCATTGCACCAGAAAATGTTATGATCCAAACTACAAACCAATAAAATAGTGATAAATGAAACTAGAAAAATAAATTTAATTAAAAAAGAGTGGAAAAGAAAAAAAAAGTGATTGAAAAAATAAAAACGAAACTCAACAAAAAAAATAGATAAAATAATGAAGGATGAAACTATAAAACAAAAGTAATTAGAAAAATAATATAAAAATAACAATTAAAAGAATAAATATCATATCTAATATAAAAATCAAATTAAATAAAATCTCATGAGATAAAATTGAAAAGAATAAAATAATAATAAAAATTAAAAATTAAATTTAATATAAAAACTAAATCAAACTAAATTTCAAAGGCTGAAATTGAAAAGAAAAAAATAGCTACTAAAAAATAAGGATCAAATCTAATATTAAAATCAAATACAATTTTATTTAAAATGATGGAGTTGAAAATAAAAATTAATCAAATAAAAAGGATTTAAAACAATCAAAGATAAATTAAAAAAATAAAAAATATAACTGAAAATAAAATAAAATAGAAGGACATATTTTATTTTTTGTTTGTCCAACATGCATCCGCGGCGCAAAGCACCCGCCACACCGCTGTGAACCACGACACACAAATTAGCTCAGTGGAAGCGCCACCACTCATTAGACTTGGTGACATGATGATCTGGCATTTTGGCCATGGCATAACGGAGCACACACAACTTGAATGTGTCAGCTCTTCTCCACGTGCAAGCATGTTTTCTTTAAATGACTGAACTTATTTAAAGTGCTTTCATGGTGCTTGGACATTGTATTTTCCGCAAATAAAAATACAGATATGTAGTGTAGCGTAGGCCTAGATCTAGTCATAAATTACAAATCATATATTATTTATAGTATTTTATTATTATTTTATGTAGTTTATTTTTTTTTTGTTTGATGCTGAGCTTTTATTAAATAATTGCATTTTTTTTGAACCAAATTAAAAACTAATTGATTTAAATTTGTTAGTTAAGGATAAGATTGATCAATGTCAAAAAATAATTCAAAATAGATGGCAGATTCAAGGTTCTCATGAAAAGATCAATTTAGTCCTTTGATTTTTCAAATTATATTTATTTAATCTTTCAATTTTGATACAAAAGTTTATTGTTATTATTTTATAGTTCCTGATTTGAAAGTCATTGTTCATATTATTTTTTACTACTAAAATGGTTGTTATTGTTGTCCATAAGTTTCATAAAATAAAAAGAGTTTGATAATAGTTGTTTAAAACTTTGATGTTACCTAAAAAAAATTAAATCGAGAAATAAAGATTTAATTCAATTTGATTTTGGGTTTTTGAATTCTTTTTTGGATTTATTAATTGGTTGCTAAATATTCTAAAAGTGTTGGTAAGGTCTTCTTAAGTTGAAATAACTTAAAAATTAGGTTTTTAGAGCAAAAGCCCACTATTTTGATTTTCTAGCTATCATAATAACTAAAATTTGGACCTTGTAGATGACATGTTGTTTGTAATTTTATATATATATATATAAAGATTGTTGTCCTTTTTAAAAGAAAAGAAATTAAAACTAAACCCAAATATATAGACTTGGGATTAAAGGCCCATGTGTTTGGGTTTTTCTTTTCAAAGGCCGGACGTGTTGGGAATTTTTGTTTTTAATTTTATATTTAAGTTAAATATAAAAATAATAACAAGATTTATTGAATTTGGTTGAGTTCATGACTCAAATCAAAGATTTGATGGGTTAAACCATAATGTTCAAATTATTTTTTTTTTATCATGTAATGTATTTTTTACCCCTTAATTTTTTTAAGTAAATAATTTACCCTTCGTTATGAATGATATGATTTTTTTAAGAAAATAAAACTAAAAAAAATATAATTTCACCATTTGTTATTAATGATTTACTTTTGCTATCTTAAACCTAGATGCTTGCCCTTGATTCCTTTTTTTTTATTAAAAGAAAAATATGTCATACTAAAAAACTCTAATGTGCTTTATTATCATATAATTAAATGAATAATAATTTCTAGACTACACAATTTATTGAATCAAATGATGTGTATGACCACGAGTTTAATTAGTTGACTCAAGTATTTTTTTTTTATCAATTTCATCATTTAACATAAATTTAATTGAGGATAAAGCTTTTCAATTTGTTTTTTGAAAGATTATCCTCGCGGGTTTCGTAAGTGAACTTAGTTAAATCCAATATATTTTCATCTCAATATTAAATAAAAATATTATCT